TATTGTGGGAAAATTAGTTTGGTAATGGATTAGGAGGACAGAGACTGCAACAGGAAACTATACAAGTGCATACTGCAATATCCTGAACACTGGCCTCAGCACAATGGGTGGCATCAGAAACCAAAAGGAAACAAGCACAGGAGATGATCCGAAGAAAGATTCAGGGTGGGAAGTTGTGGTTGTAGCCAATAAAGAAATAGGAAGAATCGAGATCATCCACCCAGGCCAAGTGGGTAGGAGCCAAAGCACTGAATCATGGACGCTGGTACACAACTAGAGCAGTGCCAAATGCCAAAGAGCACCGAGTCATTTTTGCCTAGGGGTAGGTTTTCAGGCTAGAGTGTCTGCTTGGAGCAAGAAGTAAATGAACACCAATAGGAAAAATATGCCAGTATAAAGAAATAGAGAAAACAAGAGGCTGAAAGAAAAAAAGAAAAGTATCTCATTCTTGTTTTTCTAACCTAGGAGTTAAAAATAATACCTATTTACATAATGGGTTTTAAGCATCTTTATTCAATTTCATATCTATATAATAAAACCCAGTGATCATAACACTGTAATGACCAAAGACCAGTCTCCAGGAGGCTATGTGCATGGGGAGGCCCACATGGGTGGGCGGGGACTTGGCTCTGGGTTCCGCAGCACGTGCAGAACTCAGGGGAGTCCCATGGTGCTGGCGGGACTCTGGGGTCCTGGATCTTGCACGATTTCACACGCTGGGTCATCAGTATTAAATAAATATGTAAGTACAACTTAGTACAAGTACGTTAGGTGAACATTATACTAAACTAAAAAAAAGTGACATTTGTTTTGCAAGTTTATAATCTGACTGAGGGAACAATGAGGAATAATATACAGAACAGTGTGACAGAGGCACTGACAAATCCGAAGAGTCACAGGAACTGGACACGTGGGATATGGATTCCAACTGACTCCTGACTTTGGTGATAATAAATAAACAGTCATCATACCACAAAACAGGCTGGAAAGTGTCATAAGTGAGTTTTTGCCTGAATAGTTCCTGGGAGTTCATGTAAATTTTACTTTATTAAAATCCATGCCTGAGAGATACAGAAAAGAAGAAAAAAAAGATACAAACCCTATCCTTAAAGAGTTCATGGTTTAGAACAGCGATTTTCAACTGGTGTGCTACAAGAAATTTTGAAACATGCAATATCTGACTATTTAGTCAGGGACACTGACCTCTTTTTCCTTAGATGGTCAAATAAAATAAAATAAAAAAGACAGCAGTTAACACAACAATAGATGTCCATTGTAAATAAATCAAAATTATGCTTTTGGGGGAGTATTTTTTGGTGGGCTGCAGAAATTTAGTTATTAGTTTATGAGTGCTATCAGAGAAAAAGTTGAAAACTGCTGGTTTAGAATGAAAGCAAAAACTGGCAGTTGTTGAAAGGACAATGAAAAGGTAAGTCATGTGAGAGTGCTCTGGGAGCACTGAAGAGAGGAGCTTATCCCTAGCGCAGGGGGAGTAGGGAGTTGCTGAGGGAGGCAATAACTGAGCTCAACCCGCCAGGCCAAAGCAGAGGGGCTGTCTGCAAAGTGGTGAGGCACAGGGGGGCACAATGAGTTGAACTACATTCAAATTAAAGTCCTTTTATACCAAAAGGCAAAATTATTCAAACCACACAAATTGTAGGAGGCAAACACTGAGACAACCTTGTAACAATCTAGACCCTGTGAACGTACACCTGTGCAAGTTCCCTGTGTTCCAAGTGCTAACGTCCACGTGACAAAGAATAGGAAAACAGGGAGTTCGTGTCAGGGTGGAAACTTATTTCCGGGCCCTGAATCCCAGCTCCCGTAAGGGGACTGTCCTCTGGTCTCTAAAGCAGGCTGTGCTAATCTGCCAGTCTTGAACTAGAATGAATCATGTGTAAAGATGTTTTTAGCAACTCACCACTAGGTAACCAATACTGAGGTTGCAATCTGGGGCTGGGACGGGGGCCAGCAGCCACAGCACTGGGCTGAGCATGTTGATAAGAGAGAGCACAGAACTGCCAACAGGTGCCAACGGGGCCTTTTTTATGCCTTTTCCACACCCTTCTCTGCCCCAAGCGAAAGCCAGCCAGCAAGCAGACACCCATCCAAAGGGCCTGGGGGGGGGGGGGGTGGGGGGAGATGAAAGAGAGCCTCACTTCTTAAACTGATTTTCTGTGCCACGGATGCTTTGAGGATTGTCTGGAATCCCAGATGAGATCCCAGGCTTTTAAGCTTTGCAGTTAGCCCAGGAAATCTTTGTTCACACCTCACCAGGAAGCCCAGCAGATGAAAGGGAAGCTGTTTGGCTCTGCAGCAGCCAGAGCTCCATGGAGCACTGATTCTGAAACCCACTCAACCCCCCTGCAAGCTGTCTGGTCTGCCCTGGGTGTTGGGCCAGGCCTATAGTCTGGTTGCTTTTCTGAACATCAGTACCAAAACCTCTGATCGGGTCTCATTCTTGCTTAGATTTAGTAACAATTGTTGAGGCATAATTAATTCAAATTCAGATCCTATCTTGTACTTCACCGTACACGTCCCTCTCTTTGCCGTATCTTTAAGAGGATAAAAAGAGTTTTAAGGTACACACAATTTCCTGAATTGTTTCTGTCAGGTCAGCTAATCCTGCCCGTCAGGTACCAGAGGGAGAAATCATAACAAAACCGAAATATAGTTAATGACTTAGGCTAAATGGCTAGTGGGAGAAAATAAAATCTCTTATAGATTTTTTAAAAATATATTTTTATTGATTTCAGAGAGTAAGGGAGAGGGAGAGAGAGAAACATTAAGGATGAGAGAGAATCACTGATCGCCTTGTCTTCTGCACGCCCCACACTGGGGATCGAGCCCACAACTCCCCACATGTGCCCCAACCAGGAACTGACCCATGACCTCCTCAACCACTAAGTCATGCGGGCCGGGGCTCCCTTATAGTTTTTTAAATACCAAACCAACCATTAAATCTCCAGGGAAGAAAAACGCATTATAAAGCAATATAATCCTATCAATGCACGGCAGTCTTCGAGAGCTACTCTTAACTATTTGTTTGAAAAATACTACGATATTTTTAATAATATGTCAATTATTATTCCTATTAAGTCTTTTTTTATATATAATATATTTTATTGATTTTGTACAGAGAGGAAGGGAGAGATAGTTAGAAACATCGATGAGAGAGAGTCATCGATCAGCTGCCTCTTGCACACCCCCTACTGGGGATATGCCCGCAACCAAGGTACATGCCCTTGACTGGAATCGAACCCGGGACCCTTCAGTCCCCAAGCCGACGCTCTATCCATTGAGCCAAACCGGTCCTGGCCTATTAAGTCTTATATCCCAATGAAACCAACTCTTAGTGCTAGTCACTGATCAACGCCTACACCTACTATATAATTATATGACCTGGGTCGTTCTGTGCCTCTTTCTTGATTATAAAAAAGGAACAATTACCCTGTTTCTAGCTACCTCCCATGCCAGAGGAGTGAAAGGACATGTGAAGTTATGTCCAATAGCTTACAATAGGAGGCCAGGTGGTTTCAACAGATAAAGGATTATCGGCTTCAGTGAGCCACGCCGGCGCCCAGGAGAAAGGACAGGTATTTGTGCTGCTGCTGCACATGCACAGCATGGATTCTGCCAGGTCAGCAACGGCGACTCCGAAACAACAGATAGCCAGAAGTGCTGCTGGCAAGGATGCCCTCCTACATGCTCAGCCTGCCTCTCCTTTGCTTCTGCTTTCTTCTCTTGGCACACACCTCCTCCTTTTCAACATTTACCGCGCTTCTAACATCTGGGCATCAGGTCCTAATGCTCTCTGCTCCCTCCTTGATGTTGCTGCCAGTGGAAAGTCCTAAAATGCAAATATGGCCATCCTGCTTGTCTGCTTGAGCCCATCGATGCCTCCGATGCCTCTCTGAGCTACAGGATAAAGGCCAAATACTTTAACTGACATCCAGGGATCTACATCATGTGATTTGTCCTACCAACGACTCAGATCTCATCTCCCACCACTCGGCAAATTAGACCACACCACCCAGCCACACTTACCTATCATATACCACAACCTGTGGTACCATCCAGGCTCTGGGGCTGTAGTTCATGTTGGACATTTCCTCTCCTAGAGCCCTGACTGCCCTCCCTTTCCTGTCCATGCCTCCTTCTGTGCATTACAGTAACCAGTACAAACTTCTAGGACTGCATTTAGCATGGAAGTAGGACAGCTCCTTCTTCTACCATGTTTCCCCGAAAATAAGACATCCTCCAAAAATAAGACCTAGCGCATGGAAAGATAAGACATCCCCTGAAAATAAGACTTTGGGAGAAAAAATTAATATAAGACACTGTCTTATTTTCGGGGAAACAGGGTAGTTAAGTCTCCTGAGAGGCAGGGACCAACCCTTCACGCTCATTCTTGAATTCCAGGTCCTGGCCTTGCGGTGGACTCTCAGTACATATTTGTAAAACCCAAGTTCCAACTGTAATGACTAGTTCACATGATTTTATTCACTGAACAACTATTTATCACATATCAGATTTTTCCATTCTAGTGAGAGAGACAACAAAATGAAATCATAAATCCAAATTACAAGTGTGGTAAGCACTATGAAGGAAACACACAGGGGTGCAATGTAGAATAACTTGGCTGAGGGACAGTAACCTGCTTTAAATGACGGTGAACCAGTCGTGTAACATGTAAAGCACAGGCTGAAGAGCATTCCAGGGAGAAGGGACAACACACACAAAGGCCAGTAGGTGGGAAAGAACTGCTACGTGAGGCATTGAAAGACAAAGTCTTTTGGCTGCAGTGTCATGAGAGGAATGAGGAAAAGTCATTTATCTGAAAAATGCATTTGGTGAAACAGTGTAATGGTAGAGGATCTTGCTTGGCACAGTGAGGGTCTGAATTTTATAAGCAGTAGTTAAAATGATCTAACTTGTTTTAGCAAATAGCTACAAAACAGCTCCATCTGGTAGGCCAACATCCCATGCAAAGGCCATACCTCTGCCTGCCAAGCCAGCGTAGAAGCTGAGAGGGCAGATGTCCGGCCAGCTCCAAGCACCGCGATTGTCTCTCCATCGTCATCCACCACTTTGAAGTCCAGGTCCTCGTTGTATTTTCTGCGCTTCACTTGCCGCCCAGAGCGTCGTTTCTGCAAGGACAACACATCAGAGAGTTCTGTGAGTCAGAGGCAGAAACTTGTAAAAGAATACTCTCAACCACACTCGCTGACATGCAAAGGAGACCTTTCTTACATTACAAAAGGAGTCTTCCTTAAACACAACTCTTTTAAGAGCTAAATTCACTCAAAATGGGACCTGGTTGAGGGAAGGGGTCCAAACTGCCAGGAACTGAGAAGGTGCAGTCTTGGGATCCAGTGAGGCATGTTTTATTCATCAACGGCAGTGACTTCTCACCTCCTCCTAGAAGTGGGTTCTATTCCGGTAAAAGAGATGGGAGGTAAACTTCATCCTCTTTGAGGTCCCTTCTAGCCTAGCTGGAAGCTCTGATTTCGTGACAATGATATATAATAGTTGATTTTGGTTTTGCTTAAATTCACCAAGTTACATACCTCCTAAATTAAATTATACCAATTTTATTAGAATCTTATAATACTCCTTGAAACAGAGGGAGACATGAGACATCTTAAGTGTGACAAAACAAGACTCATGAGTCACCATCTGAGGGCTCGTCTATAATTAAGCAGCTTGTGACCTTTCAGAGACAACATTCTGCAATGAAGTGGCCCAGTGGCTTTCCTCCAACATAGAAACACATGGTTCATTTCTGTGTACACATCATCCGGGCAGCAGAAACATGCTGGGAACCACTCACCAGCTAGCTCACTCTCAAGTATTTAAACCTTAAAAAACAAAACAAAAGCAAAACCCTGCCTCCCTTATTTCCTAAAAGATATCTCCTGAGCCTCTTTTAGGCCTTCCCACCATATCTTCACTTGTCACTTCTGATGCTTAACTTGACTTGAGGGGTTCTACATAGAAACCTGCCCCTCGTCCCACATACAGATCACCATCCTAGATAACACTTAACCCCCTCCCTGCCAACTCCCATCAACCCAATTTGCTTTTTCCTCTGCCAATCAGGTATCTAGCAGCTATAAGCCCAAATTTATAGGCAGTGAGGGGGGTTGGCTCTGACACTCTAGACACTACGTCTTATTACCACGATGACATCAGGAGCTGACACCTTCCTACAATGAAGATCAACTAGAAACCTGTGAGGGTCCAGATAACACTGAAGTTAAAGCAAGTTGGTCTTACTCTCAATGGTGCCCTGCAGCATCACAGGTCAGATGATCTGCTATGGGCATTAGAGCAATAGCACTTCAAAAGGGAGAGTTATGTTGCTTCACTCAGGGAGCGCATGCTGACTAAGGTCATATATCACCAAGGTCATGGGCACACTTGGCATATTGTCAGAAATTGCATGTAGGTGGGTTAACTCCTAGTTTCCATGTTTGGCCAAACTTTCCTTCCTATTTTGGCATAACAAATACATCCTGATTTTCCAGCATCTAGAACTATGAAAATGTCCTTGTGCAGACTGGCCCAGCCTTGAGCCCTAAATGCATACTTACATTGCAAAACAGGGCCTTGTGTCTTACCTAGCTTAGCTCTCAACTTCATTTTCCACATTCATTCTCTCTGCAGCCAAATATTCTCCTTTCTAAGAAGGACGCAAACACCACAAGAAAACTGGGAGATTATTTCATACTACTAATAATAACTAAAGATCAGGATGCTAGGGGAAAGGTCTGTGGTCTTTTGGTGCTTACCCACCAAAACAATGAAAGCCAGCCTAGGTCTGTGCACAAAGGACGTAAGCTTGAGAGAGGGAGAGGAGTGACAGGGTTGCGTTAGCAAGATCCCATCTGGCAGCCGTAACCTTCACCAGGGCTCCGGGTCACAGCTGTACCTGGCTATCTGTAGACTCAGTGGATTCCTCAGGACTCCGCAGGGATGAATTCGGCAGGCCCTGATCCAGCTCTAAACTCTCCACTGTGGTTTCACTTTTCCTTTTTCCTTTCTTCTTTTTCTCCACTGGGGTTGGTCCTGGCTCCTTGCTATAAGGAGAAATTCAAAATTAAACCTGTTGGCCAGTATTTTAAATTAAATTTTCTCATGTGATCGAAGTTATGATATCACATCCTGGAATCCTTGGACCAGCGTAGGCTTTAATTGAAAACCTAAAAGAATTTCTTCCCCCAAATATACCAAAACCTGGGAAGAAATAGCTTCCCTTTTTACACCCCTATTGTGACTCCTCTGGCTATGATTAATGTGAGAAGAAATAAAATACAGTGGAACCTTGTTACTCAAATGGCTCCCATCTCAAACAATTTGCTTCTCAACCTGACAACCTTTTCATGCTGATATCTGAGTGATGTCACGCATCTCTCAGATGACAAACAAAGGAGAGAATCCGCAAATATGAGTCAGTTTACCACTGCTAGCATCTCAGGATATGTGCTGTGAATATTTTTGTGAGTTGTTTTTTGTTTGTTTGTTTTGCTTTTGTTGCTATTTATAATTATTGCTATATTTTATTTTTTACTGTACACTTCCTTTCTTTTTTGTTAAATTATCATTTATATTTCATGTCCTTTTTGTTTTTAAAGTGTTTATAGTTAAACAGTACAATAGACATGTACTGTATATAAAAAAGATTAAAACAGGGAATCACTTGGAGGTCTGGAATGGATTCATTCAATTTACATTATTTCTAATGGGAAAAAATGATTCGGGTTTTTTAATAGCCTTCCGGAACGAATTGAGTTCGAGAAACGACCCCACTATAATTTGAGCATTGCCAAAAACCTCACTTCCAGTTTATATAAATGTCTTCTCTGGGAAATGCATTCGCTTTGCAGATATTGAGTATCATCAAATTTCAATCTCCCTTTAAGTTACATGGGAAAAGACATCTCCCTCATCTGTCATCATCCTCTACTGAGAATAATCTATGTTTAAGACTCAAAGTGAGTACTAAAAACTCAAATATGAAAAACGAAGACAACACTGACCCTGCCCTAAAGGAGATTACAATTATGAAAATTCCAAAGACCATGCAGAGCCACAGTCCAAAGACCACCCATTCTGCAACCCTGCTAAGATGGCAATATCTCCTCTAAAAAGGCTTCCTGCCCCTCCCAGAGCATAGAACCTCTTTCCTACACTACCAAAGCATTTCAACTGTTCTTTCCTAGTGGCCGGGAAACTCATTAGCCAACAGAGCCAAGTATCAACAGGACAACGATTGAAATTACTTTGGAGAGCCACATTTTTTAAACTTAAACTTCTTCTAACGCCACTTCTTCAAAATAAACTCGCCCAGGCTGTGGCATTTTGTGGAAGAGCCACATTCAAGGGGCCAAAGAGCCACATGTGGCTCGAGAGTTAAGGTACTCAAACTGATCTGTCACCAAAGTTAGCAATTAACTCTGACATGGGCTCAGTACCATACAGTGCCTGGATCCTCTGCAGCTGCTTTATAAGCATTGGCGAAATGGATGAGGAGTTTTCCTACAGGACAACATGTATTTGGTTAAGTTTTATATTTACCTTATACATAAGTATTAAATACATATTTACTGAATATAGACAGATGGAGTTTATCAATGGATGGATTAGATAACTTATCATTGGGGAGATTTGGGAAAATGTATCTGAGTGGGGATAGAAATAGAATTTTGACAGAAGATAGAAATCGTCATTATCATAGCTAATGCTTATATAACAATACATGCAGGTACAATCACCATCCTCCTCATCACAACTAATACTTATAAACAATACATGCAGACACAATTCTCTAAGACCTTTATGTGAATTACTTCCTTTCCTTTTCTCAACAACCTTAAGGCAGATACTAGTCTTATTAGTCTCATTTTATCAATAGGCACAATGAAGTTCAGTCAGATTTACAGAGTAACATGGCTAGTGAACAGCAGAGAAAAGACCTGAACCCAGACATGCTTTTAACCATCATGACATTTTGGGGAATGGAAGTTTTAAGAGCACATTTAGTAAAAGACAGTCTGCGTGACTGGGTGACAGGGAAGTGAACAGAAGTACTAAGTGACAGAGCTGAGAAGAAACCAGGGGTATACTAGCCTAGAGAATTTAGACTTCATTTTGTGTGAAAGGGCGATGATGGTATGCCCACACGAGAGGCAATGAAGACCTAGGCTATATAATCAATAAAAACTCAAAGGTGGAAATAATTTTAAAGATTTAGCTAAGTAGAACTAGTAAGTCTTGGCAAATGACAGAATGGGAAAACGTATCTTCCATCAAGTGAGTTACTGGATAGTGTGAGGGGAAAGGAGAACCGAGAGCCTTGTTTGGAGAAGGGAAATCCAGCATGATGACCTGTGGCAGGACTGGCAGCCGGTAATGACTGGTCAGCACAATCAGATCAGCACAAGCAGCCCACTCTCAATCCCCCAGGTTGAAGACTGGCTTGTCTACCTATCAGGAAAGTTATGAAAATTACTCTGGTCCAAATGAAGGCAATGAAACTTAAGGGGTCCTGCCCTTTTAGAGGGTTACACCTTTGAACAAGAGGCTTGCCCTCTCAAGCAGGGAGCAAGGAAGCAAAACTTCTTCCACTTATCAGTTCAGGACAGGAGACTCAGGTGAAACAGTTTTAAAAGATGCTAAATTTTCACAGGAATACGTATCTCATGTTATGTGGCTTCTCACTAAGAAAACTGTATAGCAATTTATATTCTACAAAGCACTTCTCTAGTTCTGAGCCTCCCTGAACTGTTAAAACCACGATTCCATGCGGAAGCAGAGCAATCATCTAATCCAGATGAAGAAACAGGTTTGAAAGCAGCCCAGGCCCCAAAGTCCCGCACTCAACTATTTAAAAAAAAAAAAAAAAAGAAAAGAAAAAAAAAGGAATCTCTTACCCTTTGGGGCAGCATAGATGGACCTGGAAAGTATTGTGCTAAATGAAACCTGAGAAAGACAAATATCACATGATCTCACTTATTTGTGGAATCTAATGAACAAAATGAACTGACCAACAAAATAAGACCCGAAGCCTAGAGGCATGGAACAGACTGACATATGTCGTTGTGCAGTTGGGCAGGCAAGAAGAGATAAACCAAAGAACTTGTATACCTACTAGAGGCCTGGTGCACAAAATTCGTGCATGAAGGGGGAGCGGGGGAGATCCTCAGCCCAGCCTGCACCCTCTCCAATCTGGGAACCCTCAGTGGTTGTCTGACTGCAGTCTGACATCCCTCTCACAATCCCGGACAACTGGCTCCTCACCATTCGCCTGCCTGATTGCCCCTAACTCCTCTGCCTGCCAGCCTGATTGCCCCTAGCTTGTCCTCCTGCCAGGCTGATCTCCCCTACCTGCCTTCTCTGCCTGCCTGATCTCGCCCCTAACTGCCCTCTCCTGCCAACCTGATCTTGCCCCCATCTGCCCTCTTCTGAAGGCCTGATCTTGCCCCCAACTGCCCACCTCTGCTGGCCTGATTTCGTCCCCAACTTCCCTCCCCTGCCAGCCTGATTGCCCCTAACTGCCTCTGCTTTGGACCCCACTACATGGCTTTGTCCAGAAGGAAGTCAGACGTCTGGAAGACGGCCGGTCAACCCAGTCTAATTAGCATATAGCTAGATTAAATAGAATAGAATTGCTTAAATGGGGCAGAGGGAGCCTTTTTCAGCAGGAGGACAAAAATACATAATCCCTATATCTAGACTGATAGCCAGCCATGACCCTAACCCTAACCCACTAGTCAACTAGAAAAAAAATATATTTAAAATTAAAACAAAAAAAAACTTGATTTTATAATAAAACATATACCCACTTTAAAGAAAGTATATACCATGTGTTTATAACATGCAAGAAACTTCAAATATATAAAACTACTGGAGGCTAAAATTGGTATTTAAGAGACTGGCTGTTAGATCTGAGTATGAGAAGAAAAGTCTGAGTATGTGGCATGTCACTGTATTATCTTGATTTGATTTGATTTGATTACTTTGTTCCTGTGGATTCCAGGTAATGAAAATTTTTATTTACCAAACAAATTGCATTATTTAAAAAAAAAGATTAGTATTCCCATTTTTAAATTAAATCTTATAGCATGTCCATCAAAGTCCTAGCAGATAAGAATCAGTTACTGCCATAGTGAGATGCCACAATTCCCCAGCTCAGAATGACTAACAACAGCTCATGATGGCAATCACTGCGCTCACAGACAAGCATGCGTAGGTCTGGGGAGTCCAGCCTGAGAGCCACTGCTCCACCCTGGAACAACTCTTCAGAGGAGCGTCCAGTCCAGGCCTAGCCACAGGCTGATCTTCTTCTCAGGAGTTCAACACTGAAAACGGGGATACTGCCCCCAAAGAGCTCATTTGCAAAATTAATTCAACTTTTACTTAATGCCCATATTAGTTCAGCCTATATTCAGAGAACTGGGTTGGGCACAGATTTTTAAAATATTGGTTAAAAGGAAAATGCAAAAAACAAACAAACAAACAAAAAAACCCCCACCCTAATTGTCTTGGTGCCAATATAGTCAGCTGTAGACAAAATGAGAACCAAATCACCTTGTCCTCAGTCCCTTTAACACAAATCCCACTTTCCAGTCAGCATTACTTTTCACTGATACCTCCCTAATTCCAAATATGCTCCTGCCTCTAGTTCTTAGTTATTCACATAAAGCTCAGTTACAGGCAGCCTGATAGGAAAGTGAATTTAGATCTTACATATCATCCCCACTTCTTCCTCTACTCAATATTTTTGCTGAATTGTTTTAATCAAGGGAACCATGTATTACATTTTTCTTATTAAACTTCTTTTTTTCTTTTTTCTTTTTTTTAACCCATTCTTGTTTTGCAGACAAAGCTTCATCTTGATCTGAGGATTCTATTTTAAAATCTTACAAGTTCTTTTCTTCGGCTTGTTTCTCCTGAAGGCAGCTGTTCTGCTCATTTCTCCTTTCCTCTTCTCTGCTGCTTGCTTTCCTCACAGCCTCATGATCTTTGGTGAACTGATCCTATTTAAAATGAATGCGGTTGACAATGCAGGTGCCTGGTGAGGCTATCTGCTGCCTAATAGGTCATTTTCTCCATCAACAAGCCTCAGACTGGGAGGCCAGGCCTGGGAGCATGCATACAGGTGCCCCTCTCCCTCTCTCTTAGAGTACGGGTAGGGAAAGGCAGAGAAGCCAGTGCCTCTAGACTCCCTTCTTGAGGGTGTCAGTCTCCACTTGCAGTCCCAGAACCTCCCCCAGAGTAAACTGCTCAATACCCCTAGAGCAGTGGTTCCCAACCGTTTTGTGGATATGCCCCACCTACACATCTCTAAAATCCCGATACCCCGCCCCCGTGACATGTGATTCTTATTATTCAAAAAGAATAATTATTCCTCCTAGTCATGTGGAGGAAGCCTAAAAAGCCATTAACTTGCTCTAAACAAGCTTCCAAAGAACATGGCATCCATGAAAGAGAAAAATAAAAGAACGAAAGGACAACTGAAGTACTGAGGGGAAATCACTAAGAAATCATTTTAGAAATTCACTGTTAATGACTCATTCTCGAATTGCCCCCCTGTGGGGCGTGTGCCCCATGTTGGGAACCATGGCTCTAGAGGAACTGCCTGACTTCAGCCTATAGTCGACATCCACACCGCCACTCTGCGGACAGACAGTCCCTGCAAGGTCCACTATGAGGAAGCACTTCTACCTCTGCTACAAGCCTCGTCCTGCACGTGCTCTGAGCTGGGACTCCCTCCACAGCATGTATCCGTCAGTGTGATACCGCTGGCCTTCCTCATCCAGAAACTCCTAACATTGCTCATCTCGGAAGAATGTATTCCCTCTGTTATCCCAGTCATTTCATTAAGATTTAGTGAACGGAAAATAAAAGTATGCTCAGTCTACCATCATAACATTGAAAATACTCCCCCAAAGAACATTTTGTTAAATGCAGTCTGGTTTTTTGCTTCATTTTTTCTCATATACTAATTTCTTTAATACCTGGCTCAATATTCACCTCTTCCAAGGGATTCCCTGGAACAGAAATGAAATACTCTTAATCTTGAAAATTCTTTCTGCTATCCTTTGAGTCCCTTTACTACTCATCCAAAACACTTCACTTCTGACACTTCTGGTCACCAAGCTTTTCTCCTCCTACAAAAACAGCGTTTATCTCAACTCTGACACCATCTACCCAGAGAAAGCAGCAGATTCCACAGGGTAAGGGATCAATGCCAAGACAGCTTGCCCCCCGCCCCACTTTCAACACCAGTCACCAGCCTAGTTTGTCACCCATGTTTCTAACCAACCTCCTCTAAATGAGAGGTTCCAATGACCCGCTCCCTAGGTTCAATTAGTTTGCAAGAGTGGCTCACAGAACCCAGGAAAACACGTTATTGGTTTGTTTGAAGATATGATAAAGGACACAGGTGTACGGTCAGAGGGAGACATACATTGGGGAAGCTCTGCGAGGTCCTGAGCACAGGCGCTTCTTCCTTGTGGAGCTGGGGTGCAATACCGTCCCTGAACGTGAATGTGGTCACCAACCTGGCATACAAAACCCCTACAAAAGCATTTTATGGAGACTTCCTCACATAGGCATGATCAATTATTAACTATTTCTAGCCTTTCTCCCCTCTCTGAAGGATAAGGAGTAGGGCTGAAAATTTTAAGCTTCTAATCATAGGTTTGTCTTTGGTGACCAGCCCCCAGTAACCCACCCAGAGTTGTCTCATTAGAACATTTCATTTCTTTAATTATAAAATGAAAACACCACTTACTATTATTTAACAATGGAAGTTATTATATGCTATCTTATATAAATCTTATTTTCAGGGAGAAGAGCTCTACCCATTAGTCCCAAGAAAACAATCAAATTATATATATATATATACACAGACATACAGAGATATATACATTCTATATATATATAAAAGCCTAAGCAACTGTGATGACCAAATGACCAGAATAACCAGTGGACCAGTCGCTATTACATGCACTGACCACCAAGGGGCAGACGCTCAATCCAGGAGCTGCCCCCTGGTGATCAGTGCACTCCCACAGTCAACCTCCCATGGCCAGCCAACATCCTGTGGCCAAACAACCTCCATGGCCAGCCAATCTCCCACAGCCCTTCCCCCGGCCAACCAACCTCCCTCCCGTGCGTGGCCCCTCTCCCCGGCTGTCCCCGATCAGAACCTCCCACAACCCACCTGCCCCACCGCTGGCCAGCCAACCTCCCACAATCCTCCACCCACTACAGGTCTAATTCTGACCACAAGCCAATGGAAATTTGTCAACTCAGTTATCAATAATAAAGCTGATAAGTACATCCCCATTATTGTTGACTATTTCTCAATTGGTGTGAATGAAGAGAGGGGAAGAAGGGTTTGATTTACACCAATTATAAACATAAATAAGAAAATAGCAGCGCTTCAGAATGATTAGCCAGGTGGTAGCTAGAAAGATGGACTGAAGGAGGAAAAGAATGTAAGCCCCTAAATCACTCTGGAACAACTGCAATAATCCAAGCATTCAGTGAACCATTTGTAACCATCAAGTATTGTCTGGGGGCTAATCAATAACTGCTTACATCAAGACATGTACTTGAGTCAATCTGCAAAGATGATAACTCAAAGAGCTAAAAAAACAAAAACTGAGACTTAATTACCAACATATATATATTTTTTTATCAATTAATGTCACTCTATCATAACTAAAATTGATTTTGCTGACCAGTAGGGTCATTAATTAAAGAAACCAAAACAATTTTATAAATATATAAAGGACAAGAAGTGAATGGCTTGACATTCAGAATCCTAATGGTCTACATAGAAAAATTCTAGTGTTACAAGTCCCTCTTACATAGACGCAAAATCAAGAGAGAGAAAGCTTCATGGAACTTGCCCACATTTATAAAGGAATAACTAGCCCTATCTATCCATCGGCATCCTTCCAAAGGGTGTCTTCTGAATGTCTAAACCTCAAGAGATTCTGTTTTCTAAGTCAGCAGCTCTTGAAAATACTACCAAACACTTCTCCAACTCATATTTTATACAGACTAATCAAATCAAAATCAGGTTCCTTCAATTCATTTGCCCCAAAATGGACTTTCCAGCAATGTCTGTATCCATCACCTTGTTTCACATTTTATCCAAGTAAATGGGAATTCCTTTTAGAAAGGGAAGAAAATTGTGAATTCCTTTCAGAAAGGGAAGAAAATTGTAAGCACCAGTGGCTAAAGTGAGCTCAGATACCAGATACCTGTGGCTTTCTGGCTTTCTATTGCCTTACACACAAGCCAAGCCCCTTATTAGAGCTGTGAATCTCTCCTCCAATTACCCTGATTCTAAAACATTATCCTGAAGGATCCTCTTGGTGTTCTGTAATAACCAAAATAAGTCACTCCATTGGCTCACATCTGACTCCTTCTTCACACATGCTATTACCCGAGTACCACTTCAGCTTCGCAAAGTAATATGAAGAGGAAAGCTATTGGCAGAAGACAGAAACTCACTCTGCCATCCCTTACACAACGGAGATTAGGTTCACTGAGAAAGAGCCCATAAGTTCCTCATTAGTCAGAATCTTGATTTTCCCTATTTACTTGACCTTCTGGGGCAGCAGACATTTCTAGGATCTCACCCAAGCCTCTACCATAGACAAAAGATGAATCTCCCACTAGACAGAAGGGAATGCGCTTGATAAGACAGTCTTAACTTGGATTACAAAATTATCCATCTGGTCTTAACCAAATGTCTTTCTGAAAATGAACTGAACCATATAGTAAGTTCAGAGTTGCAGTAGACAACACCTACAATGCTTTCTCTCTATAAAAATTACTTCCTCCAGACCTCACCTCATATAGGATGGACTCACCACTTTATGTTCTGTTAGCATTCGCATTTTTGTGTTTTATGGGTGCCCCGGTCTATATTCTATCTCTGCACTTAGATTTTAGAAACTTAAATTCCTCTTAAATATATATAAAAAGTTATATATTTGTTTTAGGTATGTCCTCAAAATATGTTCTGCAGAAAGAACTGAGATATAAACCAAACGTAAGATATTACATTTGTATACAGATGACAAATGTTGAATTCCCTGAGTGCATTTGGATCCTGATAGAACCTGCAGCCAGGGCCCTCAGATATCACCCAACTCTATACTTGGTCCATGTCCTCTGATCTCCCTCTACATGTGGTCTCCTCTGTCTCACTCACTCACCCTTTCCTGAGCGCCTATGGACATGTCAGGCACTGTGCTAATTACGGAATGCAAATAAAGACTAGGGTGAATGGTCCTGCACTCAGGAGCTCACAGCCTAAGGGAGCTTGGCAGTCCTTTTCTTTTGCACACACCACGGCTTTCGCAAGTCACCTGCACCGATTCCCAGGACTGTACCCCTTCTTTGCCGCTGTATGCTGCTGCTGTTCTAAAACCCGCTGCCTACCCTGAATCATACTTGTAACATCCCTTCCTTTCCATGCTGTGCATGCTACATACTCTAATTTTTAATTCAAAAGGAATGGCAAGGAATTGTAGGGCCAGTACTCGGTTATTTTTCTGTCAGTACGAGGTGAGAAAATGGTTCATTTTGGCTGAACGTAATCAAGCTGTGTCCAGGGGCTGGAGTAAGCCCAAAGGCAAACTGCCTGATGGAGACAGAGCCAAGAGCTCAGGATGGGGCGAAGGGGACGCACCTGGCCTTCCTGGACTTCGTCCTGGCTGTGGAGTCGGCACCGCTCCTCTTCTCTTTGGCCTCCTTGGTGCCCGAGGCCTCCCGGGGCTTCCGTGCTTTCTTCGCTCCCTCCTTCTGCTTGGGCTCCTTGGGCTCCTTGGCCCTCCGGGGCTCCTTGGCCTTCCTGGGTTCCTTTGGCTCTCTAGGTTCTCGCTTCCTCTTTGGCTTGGACTCCCTGTCCTTTCTTCCCTTTGCTGCCCCCTCTTGCTCTCCTGGGTCCTTTTTCTTCCGTTTCTTCTTCACTCCAGTGCCGCCTCCTCCACTATCCTCCATCCTGTTATGAGATGTCATTTTCCTAGGAAAAAGGGTCTCAGCTTCCTCCTCAGCAGTGTACAGGTCCTTCTGGGGCAAACAGTGACTGGCAACATCTTCGATTTTCTCTTCCTGATCAGTGCTGCGGTCAGACGGGGAGGGGGATTTGTAGTCAAAAGTGACGGAGGCATCAGACATTGGGGAGTGATTCAGAACTTTTAAATGTGACAACTATAAAAAGAGAGAAACAAGAATATTACTCTTCTTTTGCATGCTTCATGCAAGGAGCATTGTTAAGTTTGAAGGCATGTATTTGTTCAACATTTACTATGTTCTTACTATGTGTTAGTTCGTCCTCGGCTAGGCCTTGGGGATATGGTGGCAAACAGGACACACATTATTTGCCTTTCCTCTGGTGGAGCTATACCAAGCCATTGTTAATAAGAAATTATGTAAGAAATTCATATGTAAAAACCTCAAGGATTTTCCACGTGATATGCAAAATTCTGAAACATATTTAAAGTTCCATGTTGTTAAACAGGTTAACAACAATAGTTTCCCACAAAATACCAAACCAAGGAACACTGTTCTCACCTAGAGTTGCATTTATCATGCTTAACAAAATTTCTGTTCAAATGTGTTCCTGAATAAAGGTAATATTACTCAGGTGATAAGGATGCAGGGCCAAACTCAGTATTTTGCTTTATATCCCCCAAATCTATGCTCTCACATATCATTAAGCAGCATCAAAATTCAGCTGGTTTAATTTTCAATAAGAAAATCTGCATCATTCAAAACTATGCCTTGTATTTTTAACTAAAAATGGTGTTCTGCTGTATGATAACCTAACTTGTTCACCAGATTCATCAACAAACAACCTTTGCCCACATGAAAAAAACAACTACCATATAGGGGGAAGCTTTCTTGTGATAGATGCCATTAGGAAGAAAGTGTCACAGAGGCTACAGGCAACCCTAAAAAGGAAGGTCCAAAGCTGTTTTTGAGCGCCATCAAACCACTTCTAAGGAAACATCTCTTTGGAAGCATAGGTTACAGCTCACACGTTCAGGTCTGGTGAGGCGAAGTGCATTTGTCATTTCATAACTAAGCTAAGGTTGGCAGCAATCTGGTAATACCATGGATGCCAGTTTCACAGAGCAACACGCTCTCCTGTAATAACCAAAGTAACTCCCTCATTTTGGGTCAGGAGAACCTGGGAGGGAAAGCAGGCTTTCCAGGAAGATGGTTACAGTGATCTCTGATGGCTCAGGAACAGACCATCTGTGAAGAGCCTGCTCTCCTAACAAGAGGCCTGGCTGGTGCGAAGGGGCACAGACACTGGCCAGATGGTGAGGTCTGCCTTCAGTGTTCTGGTTACCCAATCTGTGCTCAGCCTTCCTGGCCCACCCTGGAGGGATGGAGAATACAAAATTCAGCGGCATGGTTCCCCTTCTGCTGTTTCCAGTTCCCTCCCTCATCTGATATTCCCAAGCATAATGCATAATCCTAAGCATAACACTCGGAATCCCAGGAGAAAAAAGATGAAAGAAAGGATTTTTTTTTTGGGGGGGGGGTCTTTTTCATAACTAAAGCCAGCCTTATAAACAAGCCTAAATCCAGAGGAAACTGGTCATTCTGGCAGGTCTCACTACTTTACACAAAGTGAAAAACAATTCAGGGTAACTACTGATTTCAGTACTTGAGTGGTTTAGGAAAAGGAGGAGCTAAAGAAACTTAAAAGGAATTTAAAAATCAAATACAAGAAAATGCTTAGAATGATTTCAGTAAAGCAGGTCTCTGTAGGTGAGAGTGGGATCCTCGCTTCAACTCATATCTCATGTCAAGGTCTGTCTTTTGAGGGATAGGCTCTCCAATGAAGCTGAGGCAGATGGAAGCAACTGGATATTCAATTCAAGGGAACTGGCAATAACAATAGTGCAGCTAACACTTACTGAACACATAGCATGCTTCATGATTATCTCTAGTCTTCACAACAATTCTATAAGGTTACTGTAAAGATGTCATTTTATATAGAAATAGAAGATTATTGATGTTAAGTGATATGCCAAAGGCATACAACTAATGAGTGAGGAGCTTGGACGTTAATCCTCTGGCCAAAAGTCAATGCTCATTTCATTAAGCATTTTATGCCATCCCTGGGAATCATAACATCTGCTGGGACACCAGACCCACATGATCACGTAAAGTTAGAAATGTTATGTGTGATATTTGGAAATGCTCAGATAATTCTTTATAAAACTAAACATATATCTAACTCATGTCCCAGCAATTCCACTCCCAGGAATCATAAATAGTTGTCTCGTCTATCCCTCATTTCATAAATAAGATCATCAGTTCAAAAATGGACATACAGAAGGCCAAAAGGCATATAAAAAAATGCTCAAAGTCACTAATCATCTGAGAGATGCAAATCAAAATGACAATGAGGTACCACCTTACACCTGTCAGAATGGCCATCATCAACAAATCAATAAACAACAAGTGTTAGCTAGGATGTGCAGAAAAAGGCAACCCATACACTGCTGGTGGGAATGCAGACTGGTGCAGCCTGTTTGAAGTTTCCTTAAAAAATTAAAAAATGGAACTCCCATTTGACCCAGTGATTCCACTTCTAGGGATATATTCCAAGAATGAAGGAACACCCATTAGAAAGAAGATATACATCCTATGTTCACAGGAGCACAATTTACCATAGCTAAGATCTGGAAACAGCCTAAGTGCCCATCAGCAGATGAATGGATTAAAAAGCTGTCATACATCTACAAATGGAATACTACGCAGCTGTAAAAAAAAGAATTCTACTACCCTGTTTCCCCGAAAATAAGACAGTGTCTTATATTAATTTTTGCTCCCAAAGATGCGCTAGGTCTTATTTTCAGGGGATGTCTTATTTTTCCATGAAGAAGAATATGGTACACATTTATTGTTAAATGAAAATAAAGGAAATTTATTACCTGTATACGGTACGGTAGTACGGTAGTTGTCAACACAAACCAGACAAACTGTGAATCCTACAGTATCAAGAATTTACTCATTTATTCAATGACAATCATGTCATCATCTTCTGGAACATCATCATAACAATCCAATTCCTGAATTTCCTGGTGAATTTCTTGTGACTCCATTTCTTTCAGAATCAGTGGACCAAATCTCTCATGTTTAGCCTGGGGGGGCTTATTTTCGGGGGATGCCTTATATTTCACTCAGAAGGAAGCCTGTAAGTAGGTCTTATTTTCGGAGGATGTCTTATTTTCGGGGAAACATGGCATTTGCAACAGCATGAATGGAACTAGAGAGCATTATGCTAAGTGAAATAAGCCAGTAAGAGAAAGATAAGTATCACAGGGTCTCACTCATATGTGAAATCTAGTTAACAACATAAACTTATGAACAAAAATAGATCCAGAGACATAGAAACATCAAGCAGACTGTAAACCTCAGAGGGAAGGCAGGGAAAGATGGAAAGTGAGGGAGAGATCAACCAATGAACTCATATGCATATATGCATAACCCATAGACACAGACAATAGGGTGGTGAAGGCTTTGGGTGTGGGGGCAATGGGAAAAAAGAGGGACATGTGTAATACTTTCAACAATAAATTATTTATATCTTTTAAAAAGACCATTAGTTCAAACAGATGAAGAAATCTGTCATGGTTAGATTCCTAGGCAGAGGCAGGGCTAGGACATACTAGAGGGAAAAGGGAAACACATGAAATGTAGCACAATTAATGATAAAAACAGGGATTTCCCCCCAAAAGTCAGATGTTAGTAATAAAAATTATAAACTTATTATCTATCAATAACCCACCAGAAATGGTGTGGTGTTTTTGTTTGTTTTTAATATTTTTATTGATTTCAGAGAGGAAGGGAGAAGGAGAGATAGAAAGATCAATGATGAGAGAGAATCACTGATTGGCTGCCTCCTGCATGCCCCCTCCTCCTCCCGGGGTTACAGCCCACAACCCGGGTGTGTGCCCTAACCGGGAATCGAGCCATGGCCTCCTGGGTCATAGTCGAAGCTCAACCACTGAGCCATGCCAGCTGGACAACAGTATAGGTTTTTGTTTCTTTTTTTTTATCCTCACACGTGGATATATTTTCCACTGATTTTTAGAGAGAGTAGAAAGGAGAGGGACAGAGAGAAACACCCATGTGAGAGAGACACATTGGCATGCCCCTGATCAGGGCTGGGAGCCTGCAACCCAGGTGTGTGCCTTTTTGTCAGGCAACGAACCCTCTACACATATGCTAGTCCTGAAGTCTGAGGATTGCTTTAGCATGATCATAACTTTCTGTTTTTATGCTCTGAAACTTCTTGTGGTTCAATCATCAGTATGGTCTATCTATCACCAGTGCTATAGGAAGAGTAGAATCAATTCCTCCTGAAAATGTCTTCACTTAATTAACTTGCTCCTCTATCACAGCTAATATTAACTTTTAAATAAAAATGCTACCCTGTTCATCAATATTATTGTGAAGTCTAAAATGAAAACCCCTCTATTTAGACTACTCAATAGCTTGCTGACATACAAAGATCTTAATATGACCAAGTAAAACTTCAAAAGGAAGAAATTCTAATTCATTTGGGGGTAATTCTGGTAAAGAATGTTTTTATTGAACTAAAAGCTTACCCAGTGGTCACCAACTAGTGGTCCACGGACCAGTGGTTCTTGAGGTCCGAAAGATTGGTGACCGCAGCCTTAAAGAATGTCTTAAAAATTAAATATGCCAATTGTTTTTGAGTTTGGAGGCTCTCTTCAATAACGTGTTCTTTTTAACAACAGCATACTATTCCACTAGGTGGATATGCTATAATTAAATAGTCCCCCTTTAAAAAAAAAAAAAAATATATATATATATATATATATATATATATATATATATATATATATTATTGATTTTTTTTACAGAGAGGAAGGATAGAGAATTAGAAACATCGATGAGAGAGAAACATTGATCAGCTGCCTCCTACACACTCCCTACTGAGTATGTGCCCACAACCAAGGTGCATGTCCTTGACTGGAATTGAACCTGGGACCCTTGAGTCCACAGGCCAATGCTCTATCCACTGAGCCAAACTGGCCAAGGCGAATAGTCCCCTTTTTGAGGGACATGTATCGATAAATCTTTCCAGTTCTGCTATTCTAAACAAAGTATTAATGAAAGCCCTGCATATACAGTTTTGCATATCTAAAGTATATCCATAGGATAAATGCCTGACAGATGTAACTGCGTTCCCTATGGTGTTTATATACCAGCTGACACCCCGTAGGGCCAGACAGGAAGAAATCAGTATGTAGAAAGTATTTAATCGCTGCTCTTCCTGTTAAGAATTGGCAGCAGATGAGTCAATTAATATCTCAAAACAAGTCGTTTGTTTTGGTCTCACAAGGACCTATCCACTGAGGACAGAACAGAAAGTAGTCCTTTTCACCAAATCCCTAAATTGCCATTTATCTAAGTGGTCACTGCTGCTTAGGAGCAGAGAGGAGAGGAAAGTTGGCTGGTCCCACGCAACATGTTTGCACAGGGGGCAGGTGAAGGGCAGGAATTCACAACTCCCCAGTTACCGGTGGTCCTCTGATTCTATAAAAGGAAAGCCAGCTCATGAGGACAGCCTGTTTCTAAGAGACAGAAGCAGGTCCCCCATCTCACCTCCCTGGGCCTCACTGGTTGAGGTCTCTGGGTTCCTTTAACTATGTAGGCACCTGGAGCACGGAAGTACCAACTAAGGAAAAACATCTTGGCAGGATCAGTCACAAAGGCCTTTTTTAAATCAACTCCCCTCTCTTGCAGAAACCAAGGACCAACTAGTTAATGTTTTCTCTAGAAGGAAACGTTCAGAATTTATAAATGAGAATTCTTTTATTTTAGCCAAACATCAAAAGTGATAAACATATAAATAATTGATCACATTGCTCTTTATAAAAACTCAGAAACCCATATATTAAGTCATGTAAAACAGAGCTCTCAGTTATTACATGGACAATAGGAAACAGAGGCAGCAGAGACTAAGATAGGAGTCAAAACTGCCGACTCTCCCTTTTGTTAAAAAAGCACTGGTGTATGCTGAATGCATTCACTTAAAAGACTGGTATGTAAAATCAGCCGGAGCAGTGGTTAGAGTGTCGGCCCATGCACCAAAGAGCCTTGGGTTCAATTCCCGGTCAAGGGCACATATCTGGGTTAGAAGTTCAATCCCCAATGTAGGTCAGGTGCATGTGGGAGGCAACATATCAATGTGTCTCTCTCATATCATTTTCTTCCTTCACCCAACCCTCTTCTACTCTCTCTAAAAATCAATGGGGAAAATAGCTCAGATGAAGATAAACTAAAAAATTAAAAAGATAAGTAACATCACCTACCTGCTTCTCTTTCTTCTGTATTTTCATTATCATCTATTGAAGGAAGATACTTATTTCTGTAAAATATAAAAAAAGGCAAAGATTCAGATAAAAACCAAAATAAAATATTTTAGATTGTCTCAGGATTAACTGTGACACATGAGGAATACACAGAACAAACAAAAGAATACTTCTACAGAACATTTGTAATCAGTAGTCTTGTAATTCAACAACCCACAGAGTCCTTAGTATAGCCCTGGTGTTACCCAATCATATCCCAAACCCTAATTTATTTCTCCACATAGGAGACAGAAATAAGCTAAGCTCTCATTTTCTTTGAAAGAAAATCAATAAATAATATCTGTAATTGATAAATCACGAAATACAAATATACACAACAAAAATGGGTGGTAAAAGAGTTCAAATTATTTCTTTAAAAAAGTGAGCCCTGGCCAGTGTTTCTAACTTGTCAGAACTTCGGCTGGCATACCAAAGGGTCAAGGGTTCAATTCCCAGTCAAGGGACATACTTGGGTTGCAGGTTCAACCCTGACCCTGGTCGTGGCATGTGTAGGAGGCAACCCATTGATGTATCTGTCTCACAGTTATGTTTCTCTCTTTCTCCCTTCCTCCTCCATCCTTCCTTCCCTCCTTTCACTCTCTCTCTTTAAAAAAAAAAAAAAAAAAAACGATTAAAAAGAATATATTCGGATGTGGATTAACGGAAAAAGAAGAAAGGAAAAGTGAGAGAGGAATTGGTGAGGTAGGAAAGGTCACTCTTGCACTTCATAATATGCAATCCTGTATTGTTTGATGTTTAAAATCATGTGCATATATTACTTGACAAAATAAATTCCATTCCAATATTTCATATGACTTTTTTGTTTGTTTTTAAATATATTTTTATTGATTTTTTTCCTCCCTCCTTCCTCTCTGAAATCAATAAAAACATTTTTTTAAATTAATAAATTACTTTGGAGCACCATAATATTAAGAGCCCAGCAAGTGGCTTCAGAGGTCTGGGCGGTGCACTGAGCATTGGGGGAACAGGAACAATTCTGCCTAGGAAACCTGGAATGTATTGCCTGGGGTCTGAAGCACTCACCTTCCTCATGTACAAACAGCGTACAAACAGGTCATAGTCTCAGTTGCCCACTCCAGCCCACACAGACACTGCCTCATATTTATTATGTACTTTGATTTCCTAAACATCCCACAGAGCTACAGAACACCATACCCTCAGGAAACCATCCCAGAGGCACATAATTATCCTTATGATCACGATTATTTCTCATACCCAAATCAATGTGTCATGTAGGCAATAAAGCAGAACTTGAAAGTGAGATGGCCCCATTTTCTGTGTTCATGGGATGTTTGATGAAAAACGAAGGACTTGTGATTCCCAGCATTCTTAGGGCCACAATTACAGTTTATCAGTTTAATATCTGTATATTTAGTGCGGGGTTTTTCTCCAGGAGTCAGAGGCTTTTCTAAAAAAAGGACGCTAAAATGCTGCCAGGATATTGGTACTCACAAAGAGGTAATAACAAACTTCACAGTGGGTGTAGTCAGCCTAGACCGAGGGGAAAGGGAGGAGGGCAGAGAGGAATTTGGAAAAGGAAAGTCAAGTTAGAAAGAGATGTTTCTAAGAATCACAGCGAGGATTAGCAATTGATGGAACAATTATTCACCTTAAGAAAACTATAAATACCAGAGAAATGTAAGTGCTCTGAATCAAGATAGTTAAATGAATTTTACCCCTCAATCTTCACTAGTGGAGTGAGTTCTAGGTAAATTATATTAGTACGAGTTTATCTCCTTTATTTCTTAACTTTAAATTATCAGGCCTCAGAAAACCATTCTCAACAGTTACAAACTGTCACAAATTCTGAAATGAAGTTTGAGAAATAAATCCAGTTAATAAAATAGGATATAGCCGAAACCGGTTTGGCTCGGTGGATAGAGCGTCGGTCTGCGGACTGAAGGGTCCCAGGTTCGATTCCAGTCAAGGGCATGTAACATGGTTGCGGGCACAACCCTAGTAGTGCAAGAGGCAACTGATCGATGTTTCCCTCTCATCAATATTTCTGGCTCTCTATACCTCTCTCTTCCTCTCTGTAAAAAAATCAATAAAATATATTTTAAAAAATAAAAAATAAAACAGGATATATATTATAATCAGACATATGTATTCAAAATTCTGCCCAACAAACTGAAATTAATCATTTAAAAAGTAAAGAAAAATTTCACCAATGCTAATAAAAATTCCTTTAAATTTTTTTTTAAATTTATTTTTTACAGAGAGGGATGGGGGGAGGAGGAGAATGAAGGACTGGGAGAGGGAGAAAGAGAAAAACATGGGTCGGTTGCTTCCTGTATGCACCTTGTCCAGGGATTGAACTTGCAGCCTGGATATGTACCCCGACCAGGAATCAACGATGCTCCAACAAACTGAGCTGTACACCAGCCAGGGCAAAAATTACTTCTTAATATATAAAAGAATAAGTATAATGCAGTAGAGACATCAAAAACACAATTTCCAAGCGCACTTTCTTTCCACCAAAGAATAAAGGCTGCGTCTTCTGGGCTCGGCTGAAACACTGAAGATGTCTCGCCAGAGCAGCGTGAAGCGGACCATGGCAGGCGGAGCAGACCAGCACAGGGCAGAGCAGACCAGCACAGGGCAGAGCAGACTGGCACGAAGCAGAGCAGAGCATGGAGGAGCAGAGCAGAGGTGTCCAACAGCCATGCTGTATCACAATTGGGCTGTTTTGCATTGAATAAAGCTTCCTTCACCGCAAAAACACACATAAAACAAAAAGCAATTTCTGATGAAGTACCACAAGCTAGCATGCAAATAAGCAGGGCCACAACGTTGCCAGGAATGTGAGGAAACCAGGTCCGACGTATCACTGCTAATGGCACTTTTAATTCTTGCAAGCTTTCTGAAGAGTACTCAGGCAATGTGCCATGCGATATGGAAACTGCCGCCGTCCTTTCCCCTGCCAATTCCACAAGTCAGGAGGAAAGAACTCGGGCCTTAGCGGGAGCTCAGGGATGAGGTAGGTGGAAGTGTGACATAAAATGCCTGACACTGGAGTCAGCCACGAAGATCACACAGGCACAGGGATCACACAGGCACAGAGATCACACAGGCACAGAGATCACACAGGATCACCACTCTTGGGCCTGTGTTATCATGGGGCCCGAGAAGATCAGAGAATGCAGGCTTGAATGAGTCGGAAAGAGGTGGGACTGACTCAAGTATGGCTTGAATTAGATTACTCAGCACAGAAGGAAGACTTGGAGGAAAAAGAGATCAAGGAAACCAAATATTCCCCCAGCCCAATTTGTTCACATGTGAGACACTGCCACCTGCACCTTCAGCGCTATTCATGCTGTACAGACAACCCCACCCCACACTCTGAGGTGTGTGTGTGTGTGAATTCTGAGTGAGTGGGAGTGATGCTACTACTGTAAGAACAACTGCTTTAGTTCGCTGAAAACAATCTTTGGCAAACCTCACGTTATTGTTGTGAAATCACTTATTGCACCCGGATGGACTGTCACACACCAGCATGCTGCCGCTCCGCAACATAACAGATGTCATCAACAGCAACAATAGGTGTTCAATGATTTTTATTTCTATAAATAGTAACTAATGATTTACAAAGGACTCTCTCTTAAATTACCTCTAATTTTTTTTTTTTTACCTCTTTTATCATGCACATTTAAAAAATACAAAACTACCTAATCTTTCTGTAAAGAGAAACTTTATGTTGCAGGAGTGGATGAATAGATGCACACTAAAGCCCATACTTCTGCCTAACACTGGAAAGGGCTTTGCAGCCTCTGTTGCTACATTGCCATTGCTCAAATTTGTGATTAAATTTTTCTGGCTCAATAAAGAACAAATTAAACAGTAACTTCAGCATCCCACAACTTAATTAGAACACAATGCAGACTGTGTGGGCAAACCAAGAAATTTGTCAGCGGGGGGGAGAAATGTGTATAACTTCTGAATTATATGAAAACTGGTAGGACTCCAGCTCTCTTTCTCACCCGTTTCAGTGCTTACGTATGAATACAGGATTTAATTACCTTCACAAGAAGATAAGCTAATAATATAACAAGAAAACAATATAAAATTCCCATTCCCTTTTACTCTCACCCACCTATTGTTACTTCCCTTAAGAAAAATGGGTGGGAGCTAGGTTTCAAATAGAACGTTTGAAAGTTATTGTTACTTCTCTCTCTCTCTCTCTCTCTCTCTCTCTCTCTCTCTCTCTCTCTCTCTCTATTTCAAAAATTCTGCAACAGTGCTTGTGCCATTTCAAGTTCCGTGGTGCCATTATGGACAATCTATAATAATAAAAGCGTAATATGCTAATTAGACTGGATAGCCAAACCACCTTCCATCATTCCTAATGAAGCCACGGCAGTGGGGGTGGAGGCAGAGGCGGTTAGTGGCAATCAGGCAGCCAGGCAAGCAGTTAGGGGTGATCAGGCAGAAAGAGTGGTTAGGGGTGATCAGACGGGCAGGTGAATGGTAGTGGCAATAGGTAGGCAGGCAGGCAGAGTGGTTAGGGGTTATCAGGCAGGCAGGCAAGCAGTTAGGGGCATCAGGCAGGCAGGCAGAGGGGTTAGAGATAATCAGACAGGCAGAGTAGTTAGGAGTGATCAGGCAGGTAGGTGAGAGGTTAGGAGCCAGCAGTACCTGATTGAGAGAGGGATGTCTGATAGCTGGTTTAGGCCCAATCCCTGTTGGACATCCCCTGAGGTATCCCTGATTGCAAGAGGGTGCAGGCCAGGCTGAGGGACCCCACCCACCCACCATGCATGAATCTTGTGCACCGAGCCTCTAGTTAAAAATAATAAAACAAAGGTACACACTCTTCCACCATTCATTCACAGAGATTTACATTTACTATACTTTGAGAACTCTGCTGCCCTAACAATGCCTCTCAGTTCCCCTGGTCTATTTCACTCCAAGTGTATTTCATACACACACACACACACACACACACACACACACACACACACACGAACACACAC